AGGGGGAGGGGAGGGGAGAGGAAGCAGAGCAGGGACAGGGGACAAGTCAGGACCGACCAGCCGCTGCCGGCCACATGGAAACCCCGGACGCTGGGCCCAGCACCTTCATCGCGCAGTGCACGCACACAGGTGGTGCTCACCAAAGCCGCCGAACGCTGGAGGGCAAGGCCGCAAGACTCCTTTCCCTTCCCAGATGCTGAGGGAAGCCAGGCTCCACCAGACAAGTCAGCTGGAAGATATCTGATTCTGCAGGTGGACTCCAAATCGGGCCCTAAGACCACACTCCTGCAGTCACACCTGCACAGTCCCAGGGGCTGTGAGTAGGATCGATTTTGTTGTGGGATAAGGTCAGGCTATGGCACAGTCAACTTTAAAGGAAACGCCCCCCCGCCTTGGTGGGCCTGACCTAATCAGGCAATCCCTTCAAAAGCAAAGTGCTCTTTCTGGCCAGAGGGAGAGTCGACGCGTGAGAAATTCTGTCACTGGCTCTGAAGATGCAGGGGACCGTGACGCAAGGAATGTGGCGGCCCTGACTAACCGAGCAAGAAAACAGGACCCCGGCCTGTTAGCGGTAGGAACCGACAACCACCAGAACGCACCCAACGCGGACCCTTCCCCAGAGCCTCCAAAGAGGAACGCACACCGGCCGCACCTTGATTTAGACCTGAGAGCCTAAGGCAGGGCCCAGCTGAGCCCACCCAGACCACTGACCCACAGACCTGTGAGCTGTGTGCTGTCTCAAGCTGTTGTCTGTGGTTATGAGGCAGGCGGCAGCAAAGAGCGTACGGATATACGAGATTCAGAAGCTCGGACACAGGGGGCGAGGTGGGAAAGCCTAGAAGCCACTGAGGCAGAGGGACGCGGCTGGAAGGAGCTGGAGGGACGTTTCCAGGACAGCAGGAGCTGGCAGATGGCCTCACACATGTGACCCTGTTTTCAGAGAGATTTATTAATCCGGGCAAAGAATTTGAAAAACTTAGCAATAACCCTACAGAAAACGAAAGAAGGAGGGGCGCCTGGGTGGCTCAGTCAGTTAAGCATCATCCTGCTTCAGCTCAGGTCATGATCTCAGTTTGTGAGTTCAAGCCCCGCGTCGGGCTCTGTGCTGACAGCTCGGAGCCTGGATCCTGCTTCAGATTCTGTGTCTCGCTCTCTCTCTGCCCCTCTCCTGCTTGCACTCTGTCTCTCTCTCTCTCTCA